CCCTTAGCACAGAGCCCTGAACACCATCGGGTGTAGTACCCACGCCCCCTGACAAAAGAAATAGGGAAGGTTAAAAGTCAGATGCAGGGGCTGGACTGATAGCACAGTGGGTAGGGCTTTTGCCTTGCACGTGGCTGACCCAAGTTCGATTCCCAGCATCCCAAATAGTCCCCTGAGCATTGCAGGGTGTGACAAAAAATCAAAAAAAAATCAGATGCAGAAGATGATCACTTTTGAGATCCACTTATTGTCAGTAAAGCTCTTTCTCAACCCATCATTGTGTCTCTTGTTTAACTGACCCTCAAATTGGACCGGAACTGAATCTTCACAGGTAAAATTTAGTGAAGCTATCTAGGAGAGGGGTCCACGGTGGTGAGCCAACCTCCTATCAGGAATCTTTTGACTGATTCCCTCAGTCTATAAGACTCTTTACCACGGGGGCTATGTCCTCTCATTATCACTCATTGTCAGCTGCCTCTCACACCACTCCTGCAAGGTCAAAGAAACATCTGGGGGTAAGTCAATTGACCACGCATAGGTGGTCACTTAGGAGTCTGCACATGGTGATAGTCTCCTTGGGGTGCATGCTCAAGGAATTCCCTCCCCCTCTATCTGGGCCTGCTTCCCTGAGGGCTTGGGGCAATACCTTGAGTGCTCTCTGGATTGTGGAAATAGTAATGGACTTTTGCCGGGATCTGTGAATCGATTCACCTGTCTGTGCACACTTCTGTCTGTTATTTCCTAGGAGAAAAGCACACTGATAAAGGGAAATTCTGATTTAAAAGATATGTTGCAGAAACCTTGTGAGAACTCTGGAAGGTTAAAACCAGATTAGAGTGTGAAGTAGAACCCATAATGTTCAGATCTGGTGTAACTTGTTAACAAATACAACAAATTTAAGCAATGCTAGAGATCAGAGCAATGTGTAATCTAGCAATTTTAGGGACCTGGATATCGCCTAGCTAGAAATATGGGCTTTCTCCTACCCACCGTATAACCCCCATGCCTCGGGGTGGGGGGATAACTGGGTTATATTCATGTGCTATGTTTTGTTCACATTATATATTATGTGCTGTCAATTTTAGGTTGACTTGTGAGTCTGAGTTTTTGAAAAGGCTCTTCATGTTTGCCTTTTATCTTTGTGTTGTGAAACCTAAGCTCCATGTTTTCTGTTAATAAGAAAAAAAGCCAAGAGAAGCAACTCTCATAGATCTAATAGTAGTAGTTCTGGTTTCAAGACTGGGCTTATACTGTTAATATATCAGTAATTTTGTTTTCTTATATCTTAGATGAGTGAAGTTTTTTTGGATCTGTTGGATAATTTTTTAAAGGTTTACTAAAGTGTTGAAATCACAATTAGGTTGGAAATTTTCTAAACTAGTTGTTGAGTCTATAAAAATTTGGAGTTTTCCATCTTAAATTCTTTTATTTTTCTTTTTGGGTCACACCGGCAATGCACAGGGGTTACTCCTGGCTCTGCACTCAGGAATTACTCCTGGCGGTGCTTGGGGGACTATATGGGATGCTGGGAATCGAACCCAGGTTGGCTGCATGCAAGGCAAACACCCTGCCCACTGTGCTATCGCTCCAGCCCCCTCAATCCTACATTCTTAATGGGAAAAGTTTAAATGGATTAAACAGGTAAAAAATAATGTAAGAATATTGTGGCTTACAAAGCAATTTTTAATACCTGAAATCACATCATATCTGAAGGTTTCAGAGGCCATGAGGAAGTCTGTTAAGTGTCAGGGGAAAAAAAAACACTAAAAGCTTTGTCCCCCCTCTGGAAAGCACATGTTTTCTGTAAGGATAGTGGACTTATGAATGAAATGAGCTTACGAGGGCTCAGAGACTACAGAAAGTATGCTAAGAGATTAGTCAAGGACCAGAGAACTCGTACAGTTAGGTAAGGTGATGACACCTTGCATGCAGATGGCACCACTGTTTGAATCCTGGAGTCGAACATGGTCTCCTATGCACCGCCATGAGTGATCCCTAAGTATAGAGCCAGGAATAAGTCCTGAGTCCTGCCATGTGTGATCCTCAAACAAAAACAAACAAGAAATAAGATTTGGAATTAAGCCACGAAAGATAAGTGGATCATAAAGATCTGCTTTATATGCACAATGGAATACTGCACATCTGTAAGGAATGATGAAATCAAGCAATTCACAGCAACAGGACTGGAACTGGAAGAGATCATGCTAAGTGAAGTAAGCCAGAAGAATGATAAACACAAGATGATATCACTTATATGTGGTATTTAGAATAACTGAAAAAAGTAATGCAATGTTTTAAAGGGGGGATGCCCAGATCAACCTTGGTCCCAGAGTATAGGAAGAATAAAAAGGATGAGTGGAGGAGGGGGCCGGAGAGATAGAAAGGTACTTGCCTTGCATAGTTGATTCAGGCTCAATCTCTGGCATCCCATATGCTCCTCTGAGCACGGCCAAGAATGATCCCTGTGTGTAGAGCCAGGAGTAATCCCTGAGCATTACTGGTGTGTCCTCTCTCCAAAACAGAAAGAGGGGAGGGGAAGAAGAGACAGATGAGAAGCAATGGGAAGGGAAGGGATTATGTCCCAAAGTGAAATTAGTTGTGAAATAAATCATGGAACGATAGCAGAAAGATAAATGTAAAAGGAATGTGTAGCAGAATTGAGGACTGGGGGTTAGGAAAACAAACTTTTTATAGTCAAGAAATTTAATACCAGTCTTCACCAGGGGAACTTGGAAGGGGCTGGTTGAGTTCCCCTCCCTGCCCCAACAGAGCCCCAGCAGTCAAAAACCTCCAGAACCCAACAGCCACCATGTTCAAGCTTCACAAGTTCAGATGAGCCTCACTCATGAGTGAATCTTCAGAAAAATCCAGATATGCGGGACTCATGACTAAAATCTCCAAGCTCACTTAGAGCAGTACAAGGCCTCCTGCACCCAGCTCCCAAGTTTACCAGTAGCTTGGCAGTCACACCCACAACTACCCCTGGTGCCATATAATCTCATCAATGGCCATGACCCAGAGACCCTGAAAAAAGCTCCCGGAAGAGAGCAACCCATGACTGAACCTTCTCTACAGTCATAATCTAAATCTTAGAATTACTTGCACATAGTTGATTCAGGCAACTCTATACCACTAAATGTAACAAAGAGTAGGACATTTGACTGGGTTTAACAACCATGTTTGTAATCTCTTATTCCAGGCCTTAATGGCTCCAGGATGAAATGCAACAATCTTCACACACTTTCCTCTTATGGTGGTAGGAAGCTGCAGTGATGGTGGGATTGATGCTTGAATATTAAATGTAATGAATTATTGTGAACAACTTTATAAAAATTTAAAAAATTTAAAAGAAGTTTGATACCTATAGTAAATTTGAGTGAAATCAGATTTTAACTGCAAAGGACAAAAATATCATGAAGACTAGTAAGCTTTTTTAGATCAAACTATTACATTGGTCTGCTCAGAAAATGAAGACACGTGTACTAAAATAAGTTCACGTCAGTGTTAGCATAGGGTCTTTAAGTAAAACTGGATTTGGCATTACAACAGCTAAGTTTTATTTGCAGTTTTGAAGTCTTTGCTATTTTGTTTAAAAGGATAGATAGCTGAGTGCTGTTTTGATCATAGTTCATGATTATGTTTTAAAACTTAATACCTGTGAAAATTTATATTAACATATAATAATAATACTTTTCCAGCATAAATTGAAATTGTGCCTTTTGAAACAAAGTGGACTTGAGGTGTATATGCTGAGTGAAGGAAGTAAGACTAGAAGCGAAAGACAATTAAAGTGGAATATAAATAACTAAGGCAAAGGAACTGGCAAGAGGCAACAGAACTTACCACTCAGTAAAAAGTATGGTGGTTACCAGAGAGAAAGGGAAGGCGATGGGAGAAGTTCTTTAGGGAGTGGGACAACACTGGAACTTGGATACTGGGAGTGGTGGGAATTACACACAAAGTGGTGTGAGGGTAGCCCCCTAAAATTTTGTAGTATTGTATACCAATGAAAAAAGAAAACCTATACTCAAACCCACCTTCCTTCCCCCCACTGTCAAACTGACCTCTGTGGGTTTGAGTCTCACCTGGAGAAGATGAAGAACTAGTACTCATCTGGTAGGGCTGTTTAATGTGTAGTAGACACTCACAATTAGCAACCTCCTGGAGGCAGGGAGTAAAGTCTTTATGCTTTTATAACCAGCAGCACTAAAACAGAGCCTGAGGGCTAGTATAGGGGTTAAGGTGCTTGCCTTGCAAAGGGCAGACTCTTATTTGATTGGTTAATTGGGTAATCTCCCTCTTAGAACCGCTGGAGCACTGTTCCTTGCTGTATTTCTGGACCAGGCTCAATAGTCATCAGTATCTGTGGACTCTGTTATTGGATCCATGACCACGGAGAAATCAAATGGTTTTTCTAAAGCAAGTTCTAGTCTTCTACTTTAGGGCCTTAGCAAATATTGCTCCAAGTTTGCCAAATGAAATTAATGTTCCATTTTTGTAAAAAGAAGATGCTATATATGATTTTAGGAGATTCTTCCCCTACCCGGATTTCTGGTGGTGCCATTGACAAAGTAGTGTGTGTTGAATGCACACAGTGCTGATTTCATAGGATTTGATAGACGTGAAAGGATTGTCACAATCAAGTTAATGAACACATTCACCTCCCTATGTCTTATGGGAGGAAGTGAAGAGGGAAGAAGGAAGAGGAAGTAAGAACATCTGCTACGTAGAAAATCCCAAGTATATAGTAGTCCTAACAGCATGGTTTCCCAAGCATCTCCAGGTATGGCTCTAGAGGTCCCCAAGTATTGGGGTGACATTAGAATCACCAAGAGAGGTCCCCAGAATTCTGAGGGGCATCTGAGAATCTCTAACCCTCAAAAAAAAACACAAAAGCACTCAGTGTGTGGCCATTAAAAATGACAATTTAATGCTCAACCCACCAGACTCTGAAGTTTTGAATTATAATAGGTCCAGGGCTTACGAAGCTTTGGCCCTGGTCTGAATTTGCATTTGCTGAACATGCTTAGTGGTGGAGTAGGAAACGCTTCAGCTCCTCCGGGATCATGAGTGAGTTGACTCTCTGATGGGGAAGCGCCCCGAAGCACTGGCGGAGCCTCAGGCGGCAGAGCTGCATCAGAGTGGGAGGCCCTGGAGAGACCAGAAGACAAGTCACACGCCAGTTTCATACCCCTGTGGTCACTCTGTCCCGTTGATCTTAGAAGCACACATGATACACCCTTGTGGTCAGGGGAGAATATGGGTCTAGCTAAGCCCAATTTTTTAAATTTTTTAAAAATTTTTTTATATTAGTGAAACACCATGAGGTACAGTTATAGACTTACAAATTTTTGTGCTTGGGTTTCAGTTATACAATGATCAAGTAACCATCCCTCCACCAGCGCCCATCCTCCACCACCGCGGGTCTCAGCATCCCTCCCAACCCCCGTTCCCCCATCCCTCCCTGCCTCTGTGGCAGGGCATTCCCTTTTGTTCTCTCTCTCCTTTTGGGTGTTGTGGTTTGCAAGAGAGGCATTGAGTGGCAATCATGTTTGGTCTATAGTCTACTTTCAGCATGCTTCTCCCATCCTGGGAGGATCCTCCCAATACCCTTTATTTGGTGCTCTCTTCTCTATCTGAGCTGCCTTTTCCCCTAGCACGTGTGGCTGGCCTCCAAGTCATGGAGCAAAATTCCTAGTACTAATCTCGGCCACTCCTGGGTGTTGGTCTCCCATTTTGTTACTTTATGTTCCCCAGATGAATGCAATCTTTCTGTGTCTATCCCGTTCTTTCTGACTCATTTCGAAGCTAAGCCCAATTTTGACTTTCACAGGAGACCCCATACTTTCTCTTATCTGGTGACAGAACTGAAACACTTTCAGGTTTTGAGTAAGAAAAGATGGAAAGAAACACAACACTTTACTACTAATGGGGGCGTGTGGAAGTGGGTTCTGGAATTAAGAAGCCACACGCAACTCTCTGGGACAAAAATACAATTCATGTCAGGTTTCCAAATGCAAACCATTCTGCCTTATCATTTGATTGATTTTCAGATGGTCCTATATCGTGGGATTTCAGCTAATCATACATCATGGTAAGTTACTCTGCACATGTTCTCTTGCTACATCACACTGCTTTTTGAGTCTGTATTAGAGTTAGGCCAACACTGGAACTCAGAAGCCAAAGGGGACCTGGCACCACCTTGCACAGAGAACCACCCCAGAGCTGATGTTTTAGGATAGTGGTTCACAGTGAGTGTTTTTGGGCGGGGTGAGGGAAAGGAAGTCTTGTGTTCACCCCAGGGATATTTGACAACATCTAGAGACAGCTTTGATCGTCACAACTCAGGGAAGAGAATGCTACTAACATCAAGTAGAAGACAGGGAGGCCATTAAACACCTTTTACAGGGCATGAGGCATTCCCAAATTGGCCCCCAAATTAAGGAAAGTTGAGGATGAGAAACCTAGAAGCTGAAAGAATGGGTAATCATTGTCCATTCCTTATCCCTCCACAACATTATGATGAACATTAGACTTTCTTCTTTTTACATTGCTTTGGGCCACACCCTGTGGTACTCAGAGTTTAGTGCTGATTCTGTCCTCAGGGATAACTCCTGGTGGTGCTCAGGAGATTATATGAAATGCCACGGATTGAACCTGAGTCAGCTGTGTGCAAGACAAGCACCCTACCCGCTGTATTATCTCTCCTCCCCCTCTCTTTATTAAAAGCATCAAATACAACACAGGATTACACACCCCTGAATCCCCAGAGAGCTCTCAATTTAGGTTTGCTCTTCAAATGTAAAGTACACAGTGTTAGGCTCCAGCTAGAGATGATGCTTTCATTCGTGTTTGGTGGGGCTGTGAATCAGGACATGTTAAAGGCACATGTACCAGGTCATCTGGCTGTGCAGACCTTGTTTGAGGAAACCTAGGCTGCCAGTACCCTGGACAGTAGGAGCAGGAGGGAGGGTTCCATAAGACAGTGCAGCACTGGGCCCAGCATCAGCCCTGATTCTCAGTCTGACTCACTGGCCTTCCCTGTAGGGAGAGCGGGCCGAAGCTGTCCCATAGCCCCAAACTTCAGTCCAGTGCAGTCAACTTCAAATATTCTCCACCTCCCTCCAGCCAGATAGGGGCCTGTGCACCCCAACTCAAAGTCCAGAAAGGCCCCCTCTCCAAAGAATCACCCTGTCTGTATCTGGAGCATGAGTTCTGATTTCTGGAACAGCAGACTTCATTGGGAGCAACTTATAATGGCAGATGTTTTCACGTGGCTGTGGGCCACTCAAGAAATACTTTACAGTGTTTACTGGGTGACCTCTAACCCTAGGAACCAAAGGCCCCAGGAATTCGGCCCTTATGCAGTGCAATGAGGCAGCACTCAGGACTGGGAAACTCCAAAGAGTCTTCTCTGCCATCATACTGACACAAGTCTTACCTAACCATATGTCACCCATTCAAAGCACAGCCTCATTCTCCGAGAGCGAGCCTCCCCGGCTCATATCAGTCAGTCACCCAGACTATCTGTCTCCAATACGGTCTGCAGCACAAGGATAATTCAATGCAAAACCTGTACTGTATCCACCTCCCTGTCACCTCCTAACCTCTCTCCCCTGCCCACATTTGCTTATGGCAGAGAACGATACTTTATATGAGCTCAGTCAGCAAGCACATGCTTCCCACTAGAGCCCACACGTAACTATGGATTAGGACTGGGATATGAGTAAAGTCGATGCACCTTCTCTCTCCAGGAACACACTGGCCAGTGGAGAATCAGGAGGAACCAGCTCCACCGGACGTTTGTTTTCAGAGTTCCTGAGATAAACATTTGCTCCAAAATCCATCAGGAGGCAGGCCAACTCCTTGCAGGTCGTCCTGGCCGCCACGTGCAGAGGAGACTCTAGCCCTTTGCCGATGTTCACATCAGCTCCTAAACAAAGACAAGAACATTGGAGGGAAGGAGAGAGAGAATCTCCTGATTCAAGACAATGGTTGTTAGTTGAGCAGAAAGTCAGAAGAACTTCAGGAACATCATAACATTCATGGAGGAAAAGACTGAAATATTACTGGAGTCTTCAAGAATAAATAAGACTCAAATAGTTCTCTCAGGTGTTGAATATAGCACTTTTCAAAAAAAATAACACACATAGTAAATGAGAAATGGGGCAATTTCAATTTCTAAGTCAAAAAGAACTCGTCAGAGGAAAACTCATCTCTAATCCAACAACTATGCAAGTTATACAGGAACTAATAATATGACCGATTAGAGGGATGGAGAAAGAGAAACATAATCATTGAGTTTCCACCACTACCTGCCATCACCATCATTATTACTATCACCATTATTACACCATCATTATCATAAGCATCACTCATCCCTCATCATTCATCATGACAAGTGAACTAAGGTTCCAACAGTTTAAAATAACTCCCCATAATGCCCTGCCACAGAGGCAGGGTGGGATGGGAGGGGATGGGGGATGGGAGGGATACTGGAATCCGTGGTAATGGGAAATGGGCACTGGTGGAGGGATGGGTGTTTGATCACTGTATAATTGAAACCCAAGCACAAAAATTTGTAAGTCTACAACTGTATCTCATGATGTCTCACTAATAAAAATTAAAAAAATAAATTAAATAAAATAACTCCCCATGAAATTGTCTGCCATGGAGGCAGGGTGAGGGATGAAAACGGGGGCGGGGGGAATCCTGGGGATATCGGTGGTGGAAAATGAATGAAGGTGCACGAGTGGAGGGATGGGTGTTTGATCATTGTATGATTGAAACTCAGACATGAAAGCTTGTAACTGTATCTCACAGAGATTCAATTAAAAAAAAACTTCCCATCCAAAATAAACAAACCAGTAACATAAATGTTAGGCTTAAAATAATTCCCGAGAGGAGCACAGCCAATTGGAACCCAACCCAGACTCTTCAACTATGATAGAATGAGATCTAAAAACATTTCATTTACTTTCATAACTTTCTCTTGTTTTATTTTTGTTTGTTTGTTTTACCAGAATCCAGAAGTCTTTTGGCACAGGCAATATGGTTGTTCTCGCAAGCCAGATACAGTGGTGTGCCAAGGAAGCCAATGTTATGGTTGACGTTGCATCCATAAGATGTCAGGCATTCAATACATTCCAGGTGACCTGCAATCCAAGGTGGGAGAATATGGTTCCATATGAGTTCATTTAGGTGAGGAAGGACCTTTCCCCACTTTCTGTGTGTTTGAATTTGTCAGCAAGTTATTCAGGGGACTTTGTCCTTTCCATGTGATAGGGAATGGTTGTAGGGACTGTCATCTGTGTAAGATGTGCTCTGTAGCTCTGGGAGCAAACATGCTTGGGTCTACCAGACACAGTAAACTAACAATTATATTTAAACTTTCTCCATGGTTCATGGCTTTATCATAGAAAAATAGAAATGGGGCATGATCGTGGACTTGAAGGAGAAGGGCCGAGTGTGGATCATGCGATAAGAAAGGAAAGTTACAGCCTCATGAAGGGAAGGCCCTGGAAGAAACAGGCACAGTGAACAAGGATTAGGAGAAGCAGCCAAACCCAACATGAGGTGGGGCTCTTGTGGCCAATAAGTCTCTGTGAGAGTTGAGTACTTTCAACATTGCTCCTTGTGATACTAGTTTATTTTTTATATAGTCAGTGAATAAGCTGAGTTAGTATGGTTCTGAATGAATAAATGCCAATGCTTTGAGACATAGTTATACTAAGTTGATCCAGTCAAATAAGGTTCCTCTGAGAATCATGAGACACAATGGTCTGAATGTCACTGGGGAAACAGAAAGCCCTCTGGCAAAGTGTGGTCATGATGATTATGATGAAGAAGAAGAACAGTAACAGCAACACTGGAAAAAGCAAAATTTGCAGTTTCATATTTTGTCTCAGAGTTCAGAGTTAAGAATATCGGGAAAACTGAGGCTTTTTTCAAAGGTATATTCCAGATAAATGAGTTCTAATGTCAGCCTGGTGACTAGTGTGAGTATGCTTGGAATTTTCTAGATAGCATATGTTCTTAGCCCCTCCCTCCCGCACCCCACACACACAGGATGTAGGGAGGTGAATGTGTTCATTAACTTGACTGTGACGATCATTTCACAACGATCAAATCTCATGAAATCAGCGTTCTGTGCATTCAATACACACTACTTTGTCAATGGCACCACCAGAAATCGGGTAGGGGAAGAATCACCTAAAACCATATATAGCATCAATAGCACAGTAATAGGGCGTTTGCCTTGTGCGCAGCCAGCCTGGCTGAGCCGGGTTCGATTCCTCCGCCCCTCTCGGAGAGCCCGGCAAGCAAGCTACAGAGAGTATCGCCCGCACGGCAAAGCCTGGCAAGATCCCCGTGACGCATTTGATATGCCAAACACAGTAACAAGAAATCTCAAACTGGGGACGTTACTGGGCCCACTCGAGCAAAATCAATGAACAACGAGAGGACAGTGTTCTTTTTTTAAAAAACAAATGGAACATTAATTTCATTTGGCAAACTTATGGCAATATTTTTAAGGCTCTAAAATAGAAGGCTATTAACTAGCTAACTTTTAATAGAAATTCTTCCAGGGTCAATAAGTAAAATAGCAGAAATTCAAAACCGCGCGGCCGCGACATCATTTTATTCTTAAACCAAGTTGTAGAAAGCAAATCATTTCACAACGCTGTTTCAGCATGTCTGATTGGGGGGGGGGGGTTGTAAACTCTAAACAATAATTGTGCATCTTCTATCGAAATAATCTATCTAGTCAAAGTAGATAGAGTATTAACTAGAACTCATCTGCCTCACAAGAATTGGGAGGGGTGGGAGGTGGGGGTCTATTGGGATTCGGGGTTAAAAATGAGTATTGGTAAAGGGAAATGTGTTCGGTATCTACATGACTGAGACCTAAACCCGAAAGCTCTGTAACTTTTCCCACAGTGATTCAATCAATAAATAAATTATAAAAAAAAAAATAGAAGGCTAGAACTTGCTTTAGAAAAACCATTTGATTTCTAGTTTTAACAACAGAGTCAATAGATACTGATGTCTATTGTACTGTGTTCCTGAGCCTGTTCCAAGAAACAGTGCTCCAGAGGCTCTAAGAGGAAAATTATCCAACTTACTACACATAAGAATCACCAGGACATCTGGTTAGAGAAGATATCCCTTGAAGAAGTGCATGGAAACAGTAGCTCTCTCAACTTTTACCTCTCTTGGAAGCCTCGTGGATTGGAGAAGTCATGTCACTCATCGGCAGGAAGCTGGCTCCATTCTGCAGAAGTAGCTCCAAGCACTCCCGATTGCCACTAATGCAGGTATTGAACAAAGGTGTGTGCCAGTCAGTAGTCACACCATCCACCTGGAAAGAAAAGATCCCAGATGAAGGCAGGCAATAGGGTGCTCTGGATCCTACGCTAGCTCCACTCAAGACAAGCTGGTCCTTAACTTCTTTGAGAACTTCCATCCCAAAGCCGTGATGTACAGATTCTCACAGGTAGGCTGCTGCTGAAACATGCTGCCTCCTCCATGTTCTTTCCAGGAACGTCGCCTTTGAATTCAGTTAAGATAAATGCAATAGTTTGAAATCTAATATTCCTAGTATAACCCTTCCATTTGAGACCAAGTCTGAAGCAGAACAATTTCCCCACAGCAACCAATAACATTCTGAAGTGGCTTATGTTTGATTTTTCAAAATAAAATTATGGTTTCATATACACCTAGAGTGAATGAACACTTGCCCAAAGTTTAATTCATTCATTCGTGAACGAATCAGTAAGATGCAACAGATTATTCAGAGGATAGTTTAGCTAGTGAATCAGTGGAATGCTGACATGAAGTCATTAATAAAGCCAAAATGGGCTAATGTCCTAAAGGGCCACTTAAGGGCTTTGGAGCTCATTCCAAAGGCTGGAAATCAGACAGAATCAGAACATATCAACATTTTGCTGCAGTGTTTGGGTTATTATCAAATAACAAAGCGCAAAGTCAAATGCAGATGCAGTTTTTCTCTATTATTGCCTAATCCTCTGGTGAACCTGTTAAGCAATGACATAGTACAGACAATGAAGTATTTTCACACAGGATTTCCAATCAAGGCCAAGGCTCGTGTGCCATGAAAGATACCAGTGGTATAGAACTACAGACATTCACAGGGTCATGCAAGTGCTGTGTAACACTGAGAGCCAACAGTTCTTCTAAGTTTGCATCCTAGGGTGCTTTTCTTGCCTCTCTGGCTCTGTTCCCAAGTTTAGGGTAAGTTTTCTTTTCCACTTTTTGATAACAATCTTCTGATTTGATTTTATCCTTATTTTTTGTATTCTAGTGTTGATGTTTACCATACTGATATACAAATTTATGGCATCCCATAGCCACCAAAGCACAAAGACCCTCCACCAATATCTCTAGTCCACCTCCTCATTCTTACCTTCCTCCCTCCACTGCTTGGTCATCTGTGTTTTGTAATCGAAGGCTACATGCCAGTTTTTGTCATTATTTGATACCATCTATTCCCTTTCGTCAGTAACCTGTGGCCCACAGATAAGTGAGATCGTCTGGCATGTGTCCTTCTTCCTTGACACCCTCCAGTTTCATCTAAGTGGCAGAGAACAGCAAGATTTCCTCTTTTCTTAAAGCTGCAGCTATTTGTGCATATATGTCACAGCTTCTTTATCCATTCATTAGTCATTGGATAGGGCTGGAACGATAGCACAGCAGGTAGGGTGTTTGCCTTGCACGCAGCCAACATGGCCAACCCGAGTTCGACTCCTCTGCCCCTCTCAGAGAGCCTGGCAAGCTACTGAGAATATCTCGCCCACACGGCAAAAACCTGGCAAGCTACCCATGATGTATTCGATATGCCAAACACAGTAGCAAGTGTCTCAATGGAGACGTTACTGGGCCTGCTTGAGCAAATCAATGAACAATGGGAGGACAGTGACAGTGACAGTCATTGGATATTTGGGCTGTTTCCGTATCCTAGCAATTGTACTAAGCATTGCAATGAACACAGTTAGAGTGTTCTTCACCAAACTATAAATCTGCACATGCAGTCACCTATGCCTATTTATTGCCTTCAAAACTGAGCCCAGTTTTCTTGATTTCAAGGGTGTTTGGATTCTGACCCTTCTCATCCACTCCATTTGCCTGAAGATGATTTGAGGTCTAAAAAAATCTGCTCCTTTTCAGTCCTTTTGCCTCTGCTGTTTCCAGTGAGTAGAAAGCTATGCTTAAATCTGCTCCCCTCTCTGTTCATCTGACTGGACCCAACAGGTCTTCTAGGTTTCAGCTTCAGCATCCTGTCAGTAACCTCTTTGAATTCAGCTCTCCCCATCAGAGATAAAAGAGTTAGAAATGGAAGCACACCTGCACACTCCCAATGAGTCCCTTCCTACAATATTTATTTTGTGGTGCTTGGCAAAAACGGTCACAGATCCTTTGCACAGCATGCATAATCATTTGGAATATAGTTTCGCAATTTCTTCCATCACAAGCTGGAGACTCTCCAGTCCATAAATCTGGGTTTTCCCATGTGACTTTGGTCAGTAGGACAATAGCAAATGGGAAACAAGCCTAGAGCTTTTGTCCTCATTTGCTGTTCTTGACATTCCTGCTACCAGATAAACAAGACCAAGCAGCTTGCTATAGAAGGAGAGATCACATAGATTTTCTGTGCCCTCAGGCAGCCCAGCCAAGGTGATCATGAACTACTTTTCCCTAGATGACCACTCAGCTTGCCAGAAATGCATGGCAGCCCAGTTGTAACCCCAGAATCAGCCTAAGCAAGCTCTGTCCAGTCAACAAAAGAAAGTGACAGTTTGAAACAATTATTGTTTTAAGTCATTCCATTTGAGTGGTCAGGCAGGAAAAACTTAATGGATAAAACCAAGTATATTGTAATTATCTGATGTGGTTGAGATACTATGCAGTCAACAAGCATATTTCTTCTCTCCTGGGTACATGATTATACTATATTTCCAGCCTTCCTGGCAGTAAGATATGGTCTAAGTTCGGGTCAAAGAATGGAGTACAGGAAAAAGTGATTGATGTTCTAAAATTCTTCCATGTGCAATGCTCTATGCATTTCTCTTCCAACTATCTAACATGAAAGTAACCCTAAGAACACACATAAGAGCCACATGTTGAAGACAGTAGGGAAACATAATGAAAGAATTGTGTGTCCTTGGAAGAGGGCCATTCAACTGGGAACACACATACTGAAGTGTGAGCTGAATAGGGATTAAACATATATTAGGCTGCTGCAATTTCAAGCTTTACCCATTGAAGATGCTAGTGTTACAATTATGAAATCACTTATTCATAGAGCTATCTCTTCTCTTCATTTATAAGTTCCTCAAAATATTTATCCAGAGTTTTACACATAATATATGCTCAGTAAATACTAGGTGAGAGATTATGAGTGACCCATATATATTTTTTCTGATCAGATTTCTCCGTCAACTTTTCAGCATGAGGGAATTTAGTTCTGGAAAGCTTGCTGATTACTACTTGCAAATCAAATGACTCTTTTCCTTCTTCCTCTAAGATATCATTATGCCATCCTCTCATTCTCCAATAACAATCACATACCTCATCTCTCTCAAGTCTCACAACATCACAATAAGAAACACAACTCCTTTGTTATTCTGCCCTCTTTTTTTCAAATAGAGACTCTGAAGCTTCTAGTCTATTAGCTGTCCAAGACTCTAATGGTATTATATAGAAGAGATGCTGTTGCACCGAAGTATTCTACAATATTTTCTACCTTCCAGCCATAAGAATGAAGGGAAACATTGAACAGAGGTTTATCAGTCATGACTTAAACTGAGTATTTGACCTTATCACTAAAGCAACTAAGATTGATAGACACAATACTTTTTGTAAACACTTCTCTTCGTAGTTCTAGTCAGGCTAATCTCATTTTTTTAAAAGTCTGGAAATTATTCAGAATGGCTAGAAAATCATTTTTAGTCATGGGTTCTAAGATGTTGTGTAAGCTTTACTTACCAGTGCTCCATGTCTTAACAGCAGGTTTACACAGGAGGCATGACCCCCCAGACAGGCTTCATGGAGAGGCGACACATGATCAACTGTGACCAGGTTCACAGGCCACCCCTGGAAGAGGACAATAAGGAGGTGTAAAGCAATATTTCCAGAAAGTTTGTTTTCAGCCATGAATGAGTTAAGATCAAGGTCTTCTAAAAAGCTACCTGGGCAGGAACATAGGCTGAAATCATTGGCAAAACACACACTATGGGGGCTGGAGAGACAGCACAGCGGGTAGGGCGTTTGCCTTGCACACGGCCGACCCAGGTTCAACTCCCAGCATCCCATATGGTCCCCTGAGCACCTCAGAAGTAACTCCTGAGTGCAGAGCCAGGAGTAACCCCTGCACATCGCCAGGCATGACCCAAAAAAGAAAAAAGCACACACACTATGCATGGATGAGCATATGGGTCCCATCCCCACTACCTCTTATCCCAAAAGATGCTGACCTGACTCAAAATGTTACAGTGTGCTAAGTTGTTTAAAATGACATTGAGCTGCTAATTCTGTGGGTTATTTGTTATGCAGAAAGAGGTGACTACTATGGGGTCAAAGCATGAAGTGGTCCTCCAGAGAGGCAGAAAGTCCCTAGGCAGAGGGGTATTCACACTGTCCATGTTTTAAGTCTGAAGAAACCAGAAAGTGTCTATAAGGCTGTGAGGATCATCCGTCCCAGGAAATGGTTTTCTCCAAGAGATGGTTCATGAGCCCAATGCAAGTAGAACATAAAGAAATGGAGGAAATTGGGGGCATGCTACTCATTTAAGAGCAAGTCCAGTGTAATTAATGATTGTCACATATTGTCTTGTTTCCCAGGATTGTCACAGTCACGGTCCTCCCGTTGTTCACCGATTTGCTCGAGCGGGCCCAGTAATGTCTCCATCATGAGACTTGTTGTTACTGTGTTTGGCATATCGAATACGCCATGGGGAGCTTGCCAGGCTCTGCCGTGCGGGCGAGATACTCTCGGTAGCTTGCCGGGATCCCCAAGGGGGCAGAGGAATCGAACTCTGGTCGGCCATGTTGGCCGCTTGTAAGGCAAACGCCCTACCGCTGTGCTATTGCTCCAGCCCACAACTTGACTAAAATTATTCTAATATTTTGCTGCATTCAGCAACATTTCTTCTACGTGGGCAGGCATTTACAATTCAACCTCCTGATTGGTCCATCCTTTGGACTTTTACCCTCTGACAGGCAAGTCCAAACTTACTGAGATATCTAATCATTTTGACCATAAAAATGAGGCTGTAAGAGCTCAAACGCAGACTTTGGGGGTGCTGAATCTGAACTAGGGTTTCATAAGTGAGAAACCCAGTATCCCACACCATCCTGCCAGGAAAGTACTGTATCATCTCTTCCTTTAGAAATTCAAATCCCATCTATACCCGATGGATACCCAATGAATGCCAGTTATCCCCAGCCAGACTCAAAGACTTTGAATCAATTCATTTTATCCTCACAAGTATGACCATGGACCTGACAGTGTGGCATCTACTTTACTTTCTTATTGCCATTATTTTGCAAAGAAGATCTCCACAAAGAGAAGTTCTTGAATCCTCTTTTCTTTCAAAACTCTTTACATGTTACATATATATAAGTGCACGGAATATGGTAATATTTGGGGCTCTTCCACAGCACAATTGTTAACCACGTGACTGTGTGGGCATTCATGGAGCATGGACCTGTGAACATTTGAGGAGCGCATGGAGACAGCACCTTGGGCACCCGTGCACATGACGGCTTGCTCATTTGTACGATTCTGGGAAAGAGCACCATACTTGGGCATCATGCCAGCTTTGTGTTCCTCCCAATAAGAGAATATTGCCCAAGACTGGGAGGTGCAAGTGTAACGGAGCAGGAGCAATAAGGTATGTCACACCTCCCTAGAACTCCTGGGTGCTTCTCTTTTAGGCTGCTTGAAATCCTGGATCCAGATCCATAAGCCAGCCCAGGAGACCAACTAAATGTGTTTGAAAGGGCTTTCAAATCTCACGCTGCACCTCTGAGCCATGTTTCAATTCTCTGAGAAGACAGAAGCATCTAGAGACATGGCTAACAAAACAAATCCAGCCTCCACTTGCCACACTCTCCTGGGCTGGCCAGATCCCATTCCCTGAAGGGCACCCCTCTTCTGATTCTTACTGGGATGATGACCTCACAGGGGTTGGTTAACCTTATGCTGACATTAACACTGCTACCATCAAAAGCAGTGTGACCTGGGTCCTGCAACTTCTCTCCCTAAGCCTCAGTTTCCTCATTTGCATAATGAGGACAACTGCACTCGACAAATTATGAGAAAAAAAACAGTAATAAGTGTATTAAAAATACTTATCAACCAGACCCCTCTTCTTCGGTTTTAAATATCTTATTAACTGAGCATTAAGTGTGTGTGTGTGTGTGTGTGCGCGCGCGCACGTGTGCATGAACACACCTCTGCACATGTGTGCACCTGTGTGCTCTGCTACTCTCCTTCAACATTATGTTTTTCAGATTCATTCACTCAGCCATTTCCACAGCTGTATGGAATCCTATTGATACCATAACATACTTGCCCATTTTACTTTTGATGGACTTCACTGTCACTGTCCTCCCATTGTTCATCGATTTGCTCGAGCGGGCCCAGTAACATCTCCATTGGAGACTTTGTTGTTACTGTGTTTGGCATATCGAATGCGTCACGGGTAGCTTGTCAGGCTCTGCTGTGCGAGCGAGATACTCTCTGTAGCTTGCTAGGCTCTCCAAGAGGGGCGGAGGAATCGAACTTGGGTCAGCCATGTTGGTTGCATGCAAGGCAAAAGCCCTACCACTGTGCTATTGCTCCAGCCCTATGATGGACTTAAAGACTGTTTTTAAGGGCTGTTGCAAATAAGGCTGTTCTAACTGTCCTGTACACGTCTTCCGATAAATGTACCTATCTATTGCATATGAACCTAGAGACAAAATTTCTGGGCTTTAGAGTAGGGATCATTTTAGCTTTAGTAGATATTACTTGACAATTTTCCAAGTGGTTTGGAAAATTTATACTTTACTAGCAACTTTTATTGTTGGCAGGAGAGTCCCATTTACTCTACATTCCTGCTAAAACTAGATTATTATCTGTGCTTTTCAAATTCAACCCCTCTAGTAGGAGGACCTGTAAGGATAAGATTAAGAATAAAAATAAATAGTAAGAGGAACTCATATTTATCATTTTGTATGGTAAGATAACAGGTTGGAGATTTTTATCTCAATTCTGTATTCTCCTATTACAGTGTCATATGTTCAACACCCTGACTGTTACTCATAGCTGACAGCATGTACTTATTGATCCTTGACTTTGAAATTGGTCAACTGACTGCCGTTGATCAGTGGGATGTTAGCAGATGTGGCACAGAAAGATGGGAAGAATTTTTGCCTAGTTGATCTTTCTCTCGTGTGCTCCAGTCTTCTGCAAGCTGCTCATATGCCCACTGGTCATAGAAAGAGGAGATACTGCATTCCATTCACAACTTGGAGTCAATCCCAACCTTGGTCAGCCAACCCAAAGAATCCTTAGCAAAAAGAACGTTGTTTTATGCTACTGAGTTTGGGGTGTATTGTTACACAGCAAAATTAATATAGGTGGGTGCATGGAAGTCTCGCTTTATAAAGGCATAAAATGAGATTCCAAGATGATAACTTCCTCAAATAATGCTATAGAGATGAGAGACATGGATTCGCTGATGTTTAGTAACATGAGAACACTGAATGCAAGTGCATTCTAGTATCAGTACAATCTAGTGGCATATCAAAGCATCAGTGTTCATTTTCCATTCTATCCAAATAAAGTAAATGCTTCATTTTTATCTGAGAAGTGGCTTAACTTCTTTACTTATGTGTGACTTCATTTTTATCTGAGAAGTGATTTAACTTCTTTGGTTCTGTAGATGCATTGTTAGTAAATGTCTACTTACAATGCAACTACAGAAACAACTTAAAATAATGGCTTAAGGTAATCTGAAGTTTTGTTTTTTGGGTTATGGGGGAGGGTGCAAGCAGTACTCATGGGATCTGAGAGCCACCTCCTGGTTACACCTGACCAATCAGGCCAGGGGTTGAGGCTCAGGCCCCAGGATATGAGGATGTGGTGCTGTTTGGAGCCTGGCACTACTTCTTGGGGAGGGGCATTTGGTGCCCAGGATTGAATCTGGGCCAGGGGCATACTTTTATTTATTCTGTACTATCTCCCCATACCTGAACATTTTCTTTAGAAATTATTCTCTTGTAGAAAGATTTCTTACTCTAGTTAGTGCCATGAAATTAAATTTTCTTCAAAACACACTGGTTTTTCAAAATATGAGATTAATACCCAAGAATAGCTGAGATCAGCACCAGAAGGATTACTCCATAGCTTAGAGGCCAGCCGGGCATTCTAGGGGAAAGGGCAGCTCAGACAGAGAAGGGAGCACCAAATAAAGGGTGTTTGGAGGATCCTCCCAGGAGGGGAAATGCATGTTGAAAGTAGACTATGGACTGAACATGTTTGCCACTCAATGCCTCTTTTGCAGACCACAACACCCAAAAGGAGAGAGAGAACAAAAGGGAATGCCCTGCCACAGAGGCAGGGTGGGATAGGGGGTTGGGGGTGGGAGGGATATTATCCATGGTGGTGGAAAATGGGCACTGGTAGAGGGATGGGTATTTGATCATTGTATAATCGAAACCCAAGCACAAAAATTTGTAAATCTACAACTGTACCTCATGGTATTTCACTAATAAAAAAAATTAAAAATAAAACAAAAAAACAATGCAAAAAAAAAAACACTGGTTTTCACTAACCACCATCTGAAACTGAAGATGTCCTTCAAATCATGAATGTAAACAACAAACCACAGTACATAATAGTTTAGAGAGCTGCCACTGAGAAGAATTGGATATTTTTATACTATTACAACTGCTGTGGATGTCTATAATATCTCAAAATATATGTTCCATATACTTAAAATTTATGGTAGCTAATTTAATTACTGTAAATCACACTGAATGCATTAATAAAGTCCATGTATTAGTAGGTCCCATTTGAACTTTCACATTTTGATTGGTTTTCTCTGTACTGTGTTTCATCTATAAGGCATTAATTGGTCTGAGGAGGGATCCACTGACTTTGTTGAGACTGTCTATTACACTGAAAGGGCCAGGAATTCCTAACTTAAGAGATCTATAGTCCAGGGAACAGAATATTTTGAACAAAATATTGATTGTAATATTGAATGCTTCCTTAAGCCCACTGAAGCTCCCATTCATTTCAAACCAGCAAAACTCATATTAATGCTTACTTGAAAGTTGAACCCAGGATCAGAGAGAAGAAACAGAAAACTGGGAAGAGCCACTATTAACCCAAGATTCAACAGAACTGAACATTTAGTTTTGATATGACAATATTTTGTATTTTAAAAGGCAACTTAAATAATATATTTGACAACCAGGGATTTTTAGTCCCAACTCTACTGATATTTGGGGCTAGATCCTATTTTAGTATAGGTGGTCATCCTGTGCAAAGCAGGATTACTTATTAATATCCTTAGTATATCCATAGTATCCTTAGCATATCCTCAGTATCACCCCCATCTCCACTCCTAGTTTGTGTTTTTTATTAGTGAAACACCATGAGGTACAGTTATAGACTTACAAATTTTTGTGCTTGGGTTTCAGTTATACAATGATCAAGTACCTATCCCTCCACCAGCACCCATCCCCCTCCACCACGAGTTCCAGCATCCCTCCCAACCCCAATCCCCCCATCCCACCCTGCCTCTGTGGCAGGGCATTCCCTTTTGTTCTCTCTCTCTCTTCTTTTGGGTCCTGTGGTTTGCAATAGAGGCATTGAGTGGCAATCATGTTTGGTCTATAGTCCACTTTCAGCATGCTTCTCCCATCCTGGGAGGATCCTCCCAACACCCTTTATTTGGTGCTCTCTTCTTTATCTGAGCTGCCTTTTCCCCTAGCACGTGTGGCTGGCCTCCAAGTCATGGAGCAAAACTCCTGGTACTAATCTCAGCCACTCCTGGGTGTTAGTCTCCCATTTTGTTGCTTTATGTTCCCCAGACGAATGCAATCTTTCTGCATCTGTCCCTCTCTTTCTGACTCATTTCGCATAACATGATACTTTCCATGTAGTACCACTTGTATGTAAATCTCATGACTTCATCTTTTCTAACAGCTACATAGTTCTCCATTGTGTAAATGTACCAAAGTTTCTTTAACCAGTCATCTGTTCTTGGGCACTCAGGTTTTTTCCAGATTTCGGCTATTGTAAAGAGTGCTGCAATGAACAAACAATTGCAGATGTCACTTCGACTATACTTTTTTTTGCCTCTCTGGGATATATTCCCAGATCCACTCCTAGTTTTGACCATCAACAAAGTCTCCAAACACTGGCAAATGTTCCCTAAAAGGAAAAAAATTTCCTAGTTAAGAACTGTTATTTTAGGTAATACATTTCAATAGCATCAGCTACTGAATAAAGTAACCGAAAATTGAATGCATTAACTTTCCTACTGCTGATGCAAAAGGTTATTTATCATTTACCTATGTGGTGCACAGAATTATACTAAATAGTGATATTATATCAGCCCCCAAATAAAAAGTTGGATAGGATTGGACTTAACTCTCATTTTATTAAAGAAAAATATTGCTTTTTTTCTGGAGGGAGTGTTCAGCAGTGTACAGGGGCACAGGAACTACTCCCAGATTCAGGTTCTACTGGAGATACAGCCAACATCACTAGGAAGAGGGGTGGGGGCATGTGCAGTGCCAGGGATGGAACTCAGAGTCTTGTTTATGACAGGTATGCTTTAGACTTATGAACTGTCTGTCCAGCCCGAAACTTTTGAATCTCCTCACCATACCATCCTTCTGCTCAGTGCAGTAAGCAACAGAATGTGCTTTTTCCCCCTGAAGCTACCTACCTGTCTGATGAGGTTCCTCAGAGACAGCATTCGTCCATGGATCGCAGCCTCATGCATGGGGGACCAATCAGACAGAGCATCTGTACAGAGAGAAGAATAGCTTAGAGCCCGCTACTGGTCTTTTCAGCCCAAAGCTCCCCTCACCTGGCTTCAGAAATGCCTAAAAATCCTTACTGGAAGGAGGCAGTGAACCCAGAAACCCAAACTTTTCAGCACTGCAGCTTTTCTCCTCCTGAAATTTCCTGTGCATGGTTGGTTTGAAATGTTCTGAGAGTGCACACAGGTCTGTCATGTTCAAACTTCCAACCAAAGGAAGGAAGAGGAGGCTGACAGGCACCGTACACATTTCACCACAATCATCGCTGATTGTATGCCAAATTTCTATTTTCAAGAGTAGGGTGTGCAAGGGCTGGAGTAATAGCACAGTGGGTAGGGCATTTGCCTTGCACGCGGCCGACTCAGGTTCGATTCCCAGCATCCCATAGGGTCCCCTGAGCACCACCAGGAGTACTTCCTGAGTGCATGAGCCAGGAGCAACCTTTGTGCATTGCTGGGTGTGACCCAAAAAGCAAAAAAATAAATAAATAAAAAGTAGGATGCAGACATTATGTAAAGGGATTTTCCTCCCCCGCTTTGCTGGTATTACTGAAAAATGAATAAATAAAGGTGCACCGTTAGAGAGTGGTGGAGTACAGTAAGTTATTGAGATTTTACACACTGGTTTACGATCCAGCAAATGGTCTCTTGGGCTAAGGGAAAGAGCTTCAGTGAGGACCAGCAATTGCGTGTTCAGTTACAGTTGCTTGTCTGGTTTGCTGCACGAAACACAAACTTTGATATCAGTAAATAATGCCACACTCTAAGTCGCAGTAACTGTGTAATTATGCATACCATTAGGCTTGGATCAAATGGACACTGAACGGCATCTCTTCATGGGTTTTTCTCCTACCTCAGCTATCGGAGTTCATCTGCCCTTGTGACAGGGACATCATTTATTCCCAAAGGCAACAGGCCAACATTGTTCCTAGCAAGCTCTGACTTCTGAGCGGTGGTTCCCTGCACATGCTCTGAGCTCTCACTCCGTCCTATGAGTCTGAAGGCAGCAGTAGACCTCCTTGGCTCCATGCCCGTTCCATACTCTTCTCCATCCCTGCGACTCAGCAGTCTCAGGTTCACCTCCAAACCACTGCTATTTCAAAGAGCAAAGTTGTTTCACACCCATACAGAAGGAACGCACGTTCCTTGGAATGATGTCTGGTAACCCTAGCCTGACACTTTAAATGCCAGACTCTACCCTGAATGAGGCGTAGACTTGCATGTATTTTTTTTTCATCTTCAGCCGTGAGTGATTTCCAAAACAAACAACCGCCGGAAGTCAGAATGTGAGGAGGCTCATCGGAGCCGGCTGTACTCCCAGCTCTGAGTAAAAACACTCCACATCCATGCAAGCGAGGCAGGACAGCGGGACACTGGTCACACCCTGGACAGAAACTGGTTTCCCTGCAAAGCCCCAAAGCCTTTAAGCACCACAGACTCATTATGTTTGGATCAGCAGATGCCGGCAAAGCCTCATCTCACTGGATGTGTTATACTATCATCACGTGGTTAAGGACAAAAACAAAACAAAACAAAACAAAAAGATCCTTACCCAAGAGTGAAGCAAATGTCAATGTCATCTGAGAACTTGCTTTCACTTGGCAGGGGTTCACTGAAAGCCGGTTCCCAAGAATCTATAAGCAACAGGAAGTGAGGCCCGGACCTAAGCACAAGGCCTGGGAAAGTGAAGGGCCGTAAAGGAAGAGGCTCAAATGGTCTGCTCCAAGCCATGCTGTTGGAGGTAAGCCCCTATCCGGAGCTCTCAGGCCATCCCCTTCCCGAGGAACGAGGGTCACAGGAGGCACTGAACAAAGCAGAACGTGCTTGGGGCTGGAGCAATAGCGCAGCGGGTAGGACGTTTGCCTTGCACGCGGCTGACCCAGGTTCGATTCCCAGCGTCCCATATGGTCCCCTGAGCACCGCCAGGGGTAATTCCTGAATGCAGAGCCAGCAGGAGTGACCCCTGTGCATCGCCGGGTGTGACCCAAAGAGCAAAAAAAAAAAAAGCAGAATATGTTCTAACCTCATGACTGCACATCTCCACTCCTCACTTCCTGCACGAGGCCCCTTCAAGTAAAACTGCCTCTCCCCCTCCAAACCTTAGAAACTCAGTGTCCTTGACCTCGTCCGAGCTTCCAAATTCTCTCAGGAAAAAAAAATAGGGAGACTACCAGACTGCAGCTAATGGACAGGTTTCTCTCCAAATAAAATTAGAACGGGAGGAAGAAGGATGTTTGCCCAGGAGGTGCTCGCTGTGAAACAGCATCCACGGCAAATCTTGATTGAGGAGAAAGAGTCACACGGTGAGAAAGGTTTTGAAAATCAGGTTGAAATAGATTGGCAATTGTCCCCTAATAGGTCCCCCTGTGTGCGATAATTAGCTTTTCTTCCAAGAGCTTGGCGGCGAAGGAGTAAGAACTGCTGCCGTCCGGAGCCTTTGTTCAAGCTCTCAGGGACTTGCCAGGACAGCTGTAACAGTCCAAGCAGGTAAACCAGGCCCGATGTGGGAACTGTTCACAGTTCATAAAAATGACAATTATATTAGCAAGTGGAGACAGAAATGGGCTTTTAATTTCCATGCATTTATCATGGAACCATTAACTGCAATTAGGGTAAATAACGAATTATGGACATCTCAAAGAAGAAAGAAAAGAATGGCTACCTGAGGGTTTTGTGCCCTGCATCCAAATGTAGCCTTGGCAGAATGCACAGAACAAAGAAGATCTGTATCTTTGAGAAGCACAGAGGGGGTATCTAGGCATGTTCTCTGGAGGGCAGACAGTGATCTATGGCCACCAATCAATCAACCATCTGCCTAACAGCTTTATTGAACGGCAATTCACATCCTGCGCAATTCAACCATTTTTAGTATATTCACAGAGTGGTGTCATCACCCTAATCCACTTTAGAGTATGTTCAGCATCTCACCAAGAAACTCTTGCCCACAAAGCTGCCAACTCCCCAATTCTGCACCCTGAGACCACCACCTCTGTGTCTCTGCCTATGCCCTAACCCTGGAATCAAATTACTGTGTTCCTTGGTCACTGGCTTCTTTCAAACGAGCAGAAGTTCTTCAAAGGTCCACCTTGGCATTCGTGCTGGAGTATTTATCAATAGTCCAGCCTCTTTTATGGACAAATGAGGGTCAATGCATGGATAGACCACGTGTTATTTATTCACTATGTAGATAGGCATTTGAACAGTTTCTGCTTCTTAGCTATTTTGGTTTGCAGAACCAAACCTTTGGTTCCAAAGGTGCTTGGGAGGCTGGGTTAAGGGAAGGGGGAATTCCCAGTGATTCTTGGGCAACTGGGCCTGCACATCAGCACTAGGGCCTGAAGAGGTGATGCTCCTGGAGGCCTCTAAGGCTGTACCCAGGAGAACTTGGGGGACCATGCCCAGGTCTGCCTCATGCAACACCGGTGCCTGAACCCCTGTGCTCCATCTCTTTCCCCATTATTGTCAATACCAGATATGGACATTGTTAATACCAGATATGGACATTCATGTTTAAGTTTTGGGTAGATTTAAGTTTCTTTTTTTTTTAATTTTTATTAGTGAAACACCATGAGGTACAGTTGTAGATTTACAAATTTTTGTGCTTGGGTTTCAATTGTACAATGATCAAACACCCATCCCTCCACCAGTGCCCATTTTCCATCACCACGGGTCCCAGTATCCCTCCTACCCCCCATCCCCCCCATGCCACCCTGCCTCTGTGGCAGGGCATTCCCTTTTGTTCTCTCTCTCCTTTTGGGTCCTGTGGTTTGCAAAAGAGGCATTGGGTGGCAATCATGTTCGGTCTATAGTCTACTTTCAGCATGGGGTCAATGTAAGTTTTCAGTTCTCTTGGTTAAACACCTAGGTATGAAACTGGTGTAGAAGATAAACTAACATCCTAATGTTGAGCGATAGCACAGCGGGTAGGGCGTCTGCCTTGCACGCAGCCAACATGGCCGACCCGAGTTCGATTCCTCCGCCCCTCTCGGAGAGCCCGGCAAGCTACCGAGAGTATTGATATGCCAGACACAGTAACAACAAACTCTCCAATGGAGACGTTACTGGGCCCGCTCGAGCAAATCACATCAATAGGATAGAATAATGTTAGCCTTTGGAGAAGGTGCCAGGAGATTTTTCCAAAGCACTAGACCGGGTGATATTCCCATAAGCCGTGGGTCTGACTTTGCCTTTTCAATGTAAAGTCATTTCAGGCTAGAATTGGGTAGACCCAAGAGAGTGCCCTATCCTCCTGCTACAAAGAGAAACCTGGGTCTTCGTCAAACCCAAGTTCATCTCAAATCTGTATGAAGCCTTTATTCTCTTCAGCTCCGTACAACTATCACTATCACTATCACCCCGTTGTTCATTGATTTGCTCGAGCAGGTGCCAGTAATGTCTCCATTCATCCTTGTCAGTGCTAGTGTAGCCTGATGGCATATTGGGGGCTCTTTCAGGGTCAGAGGAATGAGGACCATCATTGTTACTGTGGGTTTTTTTTTTTTTACATTATCAAGTAGGCCACAGATAGCTTGCCAGGCTTTGCTGTGCAGGCAGGATACTCTCGGTAGCTTCCCGGGCTCTCCGAGAGGGATGGAGGCTTTTGGGTCAGCCTCTAATCACCTTTACAGGTGTTCCCAGTCAGGCATATATGCGGGCAGGAGACTCTCAGTAGCCTGCCAGGTTCTCTGAGAGTGAGAACTAGACAATAAGACAACTGACTATGCAAAAAAAAAAAAATTCAATTGTAGCAATATGTCAGCATTATCTGGTTCCCAGAGCTTAGACTGCCTGGGAATTCACACAGAGTTTAGCAAACGACTTATCTTAAAGGGGGCACACTTTGTCTTTAAAGAGAGGGGCCAGTGTGCGTTGGAGGAGGGGCTCCAAGGGCTAGAGTTCGTGCCAGAATGCATCATCCCAGCACTCAGCACTTTGCCAGGGGTAGTATCTGAACACCCTATCAGAAGCAGCTCCCTGGGAACTG